CACCAGCAACTAAGACTTTTCCATTGCCCAGCATCGATGCTGTGTGAGATCGTCGTGTAAAACTCATGTTGCCAGTCTTTGTCCACACTCCTGTCGCTGGGTCATAGAGTTCTGCACTATTTGTGAAGCCACCGTAGGTCTCTCCACCAGCAACTAAGACTTTTCCATTGCCCAGCATCAATGCTGTGTGAGACCGTCGTGCAATACTCATATCACCAGTCTTTGTCCACACTCCTGTTGCTGGGTCATAGAGTTCTGAACTATCCAAAAGACCATTGATGTTGTTATATCCACCAGCAACTAAGACTTTTCCATTGCTTAGTATCGATGCTGTGTGAGTCTCTCGTGCAAAACTCATGTTGCCAGTCTTTGTCCACACTCCTGTTGCTGGGTCGTAGAGTTCTGCACTATTCAAGTTGCCGTTGTTCTGTCCACCAGCAACTAAGACTTTTCCATTTCTTAATATCGATACTGTGTGCCAGGATCGTGCAATACTCATACTGGTGGTATTCGACCATCCTAGAAAGAAGTGTTTCAATAGAGCAATCTGACTGTTCGCATATGGGAATTTTTTATCAGCTCTGTATGAAATAGTTGGTTTTTTAGATAACTGTTTCATTCTCGTAAGATTCAAATATATATCAGTCACTGAACAAGAAGCATGGTCTAGTATTAGAGAGAAATGCTCAATTGAATATCTCTGATATTGAATATTGTCTTGCTTATTTTGTACACCTTCATATGTTAAAACATTGATGACATTTTCAGACCTATAGAATGTAATTCTAATGAGATATCAAAATACTACACCAAGATCCAAAATCGAGTTTCACAACTTTCAATCATTTTATTTTAGAGACATCTACAACTATTACTGAAATATATTCCTACCAATGGAAACCAGTAGAGTTATGAAAATTTTAGCTAATACAAATTTTTGGACAGACGAAACGACCGTAATTATCATTTGATATTCAGTTGCCAATAGAAGTTTCCGCTCTGATACTCTTTCTGACGAATAGATTATCAACCTTGCTGATTTTCCAAATGGAGTTACTCAAGTTAGTCGAAATCGATTTCGTTCAAACTTTTTTCATAAACACTATCAATATAGTCATACTAGACGATGCAATGAGAGTTTTGACATCTTTAAAGTTGACTCGAATCGAATCAATGTTCAAGATATCAAAACCCTCATTGCATCATCTAATATGACTAAGTCGATAGTGTTTATGAAAAAAGTTTGAACAAAATCGATTTAGACGAAGTTGTGTAACTCCATTTGGAAAATCAGCAAGGTTGATACACTATTCATAAGAAAGAGTACCAGAGCGAAAAATCCTTTTGACAGCTGAATATCAAAAGAACATCACAGTTGTTTAATATGTCCAAAAATCTATATTAGCTAAAATTTTCATGATTCTAGCTTTTGTTGGTAGGAATATATTTTAATAATAGATGTAGATGTTGCTAAAATAAAATGATTCAGAGTCGTGAAACTCAGTTTTGGATCTTGCTGTAGTGGTTTTGATATCTCATTAGAATTACATTCTATAGGTCTGGAAATATCATCAATGTTTTAAAATACGAAAGTCTACAAAATAAGCAGGGTGATATTCAATATCGGAGATTTTAAATAGAGCAAAGCCGGTCATAGGTCTTGTACGTTGACTTATAGGTGGATTTTAAATACAGTTCAAAGGAAATGACGAAAGCTTTCTGGAATGCGCTGCTGATGCAATCGAAAATAAGCCTGAATTAGTATGTGACCTATATAAACTCGGCAGTTGGATTGTCATCTCACAGATTTACGCGAAAATTTCACAATTCTGAAAGTTTCCACACGTAAAATAAACTATGAATAAAACACATGAATGACGGTACACAAAAGAATCTGTTTATAGTTATAACATGAATACACGCCTTACTGCAACCCATTCGATATTTAAGTTTGATTGACATCACATTTCAAAGATGTTTTAAATGGTATATAGTTCTCTCTATTATATTCTCTTAATTTTGCAGGTACTTTTCTATTATATTGGGTACGTGAGGTAAGGTTCTCTATTTGTATGTCGTTTTTGTGACGCTTTCAAAGTTATGTATTTGAAAACTGGTAACTGATAATGTGATGCAGTGGCAGTTAACGATTTCCAGTTGCCAGTTGTCACACAAAATGATAATAATTTCCTAGCCCTGCCAACGTAACACATTCAATGTATTGTTGAATTTTTGTCTGATACAAGAGACTATTTTGCTTCCTCAAGATGTTCAAAGCTGTTGTACAAGTGCAAAGATTCAAAGAATTCTCGCTTCTACAAAAACTATCGAAGAAACACTAAAAATAAATGTAAATGAATTGTGATTTTATGAAAGATAACCTTGTGATATCATAGCATAAACAATTCTGGCGCGGAGAAGAATTTTAAACGGTTAAAAGGAGCAGTTTATCGAATATTATCGAAAAATGACTCGAGCGAAGATAGAGGTTAGCGTAATCTGCACCATTGTGATGTCGAACTTAGTACCTAGCAGACATATTCAAGCATTTGATTCAATGAACCTTTTTTTACAACTGAATACCTGTACGCCTGTGTTCTCATTCTTTAATTATCCTTATTCGTGTGTATCAATGTCAATTTCTCAGCTATAGCACATAGGCCACTACCAAACGCAGTGGCTGGTGTACAATCAACGATCTCTGGTTTTCATTGATTTTCACACATGATATAATGGCAAATGGTTGATTAATATTGCGCAAACTAATGTCGGCGCCAAAAGTAAATGGTGAAAACTCTGAGAGGAATATCTCCCGAACGGATGCAGCTAGCGACCTGCGGTTTTCACCAATCGAAAGAGGAGGAGTGGGGACGTCTTTTTCTCCGATAATGTATAAGACGGAATCTTTTTATACCTAATCATATTCGAAGAACATGCAAAAGAACCTATGAAAATGACCTGCCAGCTAGATGAAATTTTGATTTGAGCTTTGAATTAGATAGAGAAACTTGAGATCTATAATTCCAGATACAATGTGCTTTCTTACTTTTTCTTACATTTCCCTCGAAATCTCAAGCTACGTTGATTAAAAGTGTAAAAGCTTAGTAAAAAACTAGCGAAAATCCCTATGATTTGCTCATGTAAGTACATGATCCCATTTGCGCAACGTTAGAATGTAATAAGACAACCATTTACGTTGTATCTGGAACTATAGATCTCAAGTCCCTCTATCTAAATCAAAAGTCAAAATCAAAATTTCATCTAGCTGGCAGGTCATTTTCATGGGTTCTTTTGCATGTTCTTCGAATATGATTAGGTATAAAAAGATTCCGTCTTATACATTATCGGAGAAAAAGACGTCCCCACTCCTCCTCTTTCGATTGGTGAAAACCCCAGGTCGCTAGCTGCATCCGTTCGGGAGATATTCCTCTCGGAGTTTTCACCATTTACTTTTGGCGTCGACATTAATTGAAAAATACTCAATGCACGAGTTTTTACTAGATTTTTACACGAAGCTCACATTCATCGTTATCAAAAACTAGGTTTTCAAATATATTAGATATCAAGACGGATTAAATCAATCGAGTTGAAGCTATGAGTGAAAAGAAATAGTAAGTGGTTCCACTAACGCAATAGATTTCAAGTCAAAATACTGCTTCTTTGATTTCACGTATATGCTACTTAAGGAAGGCAGACTGCCTATGTGAGCTATTTTGAAAAATCGTAACTTGATCATCAGAATGTTTAGCCAGAAGTTAGTCGGCTAGAAGGTTAATGGAGAATTGCAAATGAGGAAATAACTGGTTTCAAATTCAGTTTTCTATTCGTCATTAGATCTATCAATATAGGTGGCATCAAAATCTCTTTCATATAAGTGAAGATGTGGATGAACAGAACGCCTACACATTCTCTGATGCACAACTATCCTCAAATGCTTTGGAATGACTCAATTTCTTGCGTTTCGAGTCCATAGGATGTGAATGATACTTAAGCTTTTTTTTTGTTTTTGGGAACGAGAATAACTTGATACAGATTGCCCCAGATTCTGTCTTCTGAGGATGTCTTGGTACATTTTGATATGCCTATTCGGTTTTGCAATCCGTGTGGATTGGCCATGCAAAACATTTTTTCCAATGTGGATATTTGCATGAGCACTGAAAGAAATTGAAGCATTCTCTCATCGTTTTTCAATTTTCAATATACCCGTTTGTATCAGATTTGCATCTAAAGTATATGTAGTGATTTGTGTCGATCTATATGGCTTAGACCACTCATAAATCTTCCTTCATTATGGTATAATATGTTTTTGTCACTAGAGAATTCAGAACATCAGGAATAAAAAACATGCCGATTCTAGTGAATCCTTTTTCATTAACGAATTGAACTTTTTTACTCGGGAGTACTCATTTCAAGTCTATCTCATAAACTAATTAATAGTCTTTCATTAATACCAATCTCTGTTACAAAATGAATTGCATTTTAAAAATTGGATGAATAATTTTCTCTGAAGGAGAAATACACATTTTTAGTATTTTTCGTATAAAAAAAATAAAACAACATAAAAGATTGATAAGCCATATATATTGACTGCATGATATCTTCTATACAATGATGACAAGCTGAGCATTCTAGCTTGTGTGGTTTTGAAATGACAAAGAACAAGAAACGATTGTATACAAAAGGACACATAACTGTTAGACTAACTTTACATACCAAGACGAAATTTTTCTCAACAGCTCTTCATGTTCTCAAGTCGGTTTACCAGCAGTCGTGTGCTCTCTTATCTATATTGGTAGTAGCCAAGTTTAAGATGAAGTGTAGCAAGACTTGAACGTCTGTGTTAGCAAGGCACAAATAGACATTTTTTCATTTTTCAATCTTAAATCAATTGGGAATAAATGTCTTCTTACCACATTCCTTGAGAGAGCTACATGCTTTGATAAGATTTAGGTCATTTTATAACTTCTCCCTAAACATGAATATAATATTCAAAGAAAGTCTTAGCAAAAACACGTCAAAGATCACGTTGCTTTAAATTGATTCTATAATATTCATCAGCATTGTAGTTAAAACAACTTTACCTGTATTGATGATTGAAATTCCCGGAGTCAACGGTGGACATCTCTGAGAAGAGGCACGATCAATCGGATAACAAACAGGAATGGTGCATCGAGTGTTGTTGACACATACAGTATTTGGTGCCGAACATGTCTTATTATCATTTGCACATGGAATCAAATCATTACATGATATAGCTGTATCCGTACACATTCCTCCACCGGTCATTGCCATCATCAAACATTCACAGTCAGAATTTGTTGAACATGGTGTTACTTTTGCTTGACAGCATGGTGATGGACAGCATCCACATATAGAGGGCTGTGTATTGGTTGTGTTTTGACCTACAACGAATTCCATCAAAAAATAACATGGATTAAACTACCAAACATTTGTAGGGATGAAGATTTAAATAAATCAACAAAAAAGGAAATGATATGAACTTCATTAGGTCGTATTAGATTCCCACATGAATGCTGAATAAAGTAAGTCTTTTATACCTGTGACAATGCAGACAATATATCTAAAAAAATATTTGTATCACATTATTGATTTATCATGATAGAATTACTTACAATGCTGCCGTTACCAGAATAAGAAATAGTTGCATTGTTGTGATTGAAGAAATGTCATTTGATCAGAATAGTTGCTGCTTTTATTGACAAATGAGTTCTTTTCAACATGTTTACTTGTATCAGTCACAAAAGGTCTCAACAGGAGTCTCGATCGTGTTTATTCACAAGGATTCGCGGATTCCAGCAACAAATATTTGAAAACAGCACAGTATATGATATCAGTTCTCTAAAAAATATATTTAACTTTCGCCTGGGTAGTTGATTACATGCCTTAGAAAAATAAAAACAGTACATGTTGAATAATAATTATACTTAATAGCTTTCATGATTTTGCTATGTGTACACAATCTAAAGCAAAATATTGACAAAAGTACAGCAACCATTGGCTTTTTTTATAAAGCTTATTGAGAAAGATGTATTTATATTACGTAGGACTGAGAAGCATGAAAACATGTTCTTATTTGGATGAAAGTATTCAAGAATAGAAGCAGTATATTGGAACAAAATGAAAAGTGGAAATAGAATACAGAGTCTTCTCGATAGTTGACTGCATGGTGAACACGATAATCTCAGAAGAATTGCACTTTGTTTTGCAAAAGAGAATAACTTCATTAATATCTTTTTGGAAACCATATTATATTTGTTGTTTCTGAATGGTTAGAAATCAATATTAGAGTGTGAGTGTGGGTATGGTTGATGATGTGAAAGTTGAACAAGAGAAGATTCACACTCACACCGCCACTCCCACACCCCCGTCCCCACACCCACACTCATATTCACATCCACACCCACACTCACACCCACACCCACACTCACACCCACCCACACCCACACTCACAATCATTTGTATTGCGTCCTAGACTAGATGTGACATCATCTTGTGATTTTTGATATTCTTAACTAGAAAGATATAATTTTCAATATCCATTATTACTGCTAGTTGGTCGACATCGTTTCTCTAATGATAAACGAATAGGTTTAGCCCATACAACACAAATCACTTTCGATGATGAGATATCTATGACATTTTTGAACTATGCATCATCACATGATCTGACATTCTGTCAATTTGGATTAGCTGTATTTAAGGTTAGTTGTAGAGCCTGTGATATTCTGATCGATCGTATCAATTGTTATTGATTTTCATAGTAAAATTTCTTTCAAGAGAGGATATTTTTCTGCGCCACTATCAGCATGTAGAATTTTATTAATGATTTCTGTCCAACAGAGAAAAGATAATACTAGCAAAAAACAGCGGAAGAAAACATGAATAGGAACTTTGAAAGCTATTAGTGAAATTTTTCAGGTTAATTTTAAATCTTTGTACTCGACCGTTCCCGTAATCGGAGACATATAAATTGCCATAACTATCAAAAGCTAGATCAGCAGGGTTATATAATTGATTGGGTGCATCTCCAATTCCATTTCCTGCAGCTATGATAGTTGCGTTCTTGCTTCCTGCTAGCACACGTACGATGCTATTACCTCCACAATTCGCAATATAAAGAGTTCCAAAAGAATCAATTGAAAGGCCACGAGGTTCGCCCAGTTGATCTACGACAACTTTTCCTTCACCTGATGCATTTTTCTTCCATTCAAGAACGCTACCATAATATGTTGCCACAAAAACTGAATCCTTATCATCTACTGCAACACTCCAGGCTATACAAAAAAAGAAAGAAATACAGTAGTCCAACATACTCACAGAGAAAAAAACTTACGGCTATTTGCATTTGGAATCACCACTGTTCCGTTCTGCTCTGCTCCTCCATTCGCCGTATACTTCTTTACAAATTCTTGAAAATAATCTGTGATATAAAGGTGCTCTTCTTTTGGGTCTATTGCAACGCTCAGTAACCATTCAGCTCGACCGAGAACAGTACCGTTACGAGTGCCCTTAGGCCAGCGACTAAGACTCTCTTTCTCTGCTATGAACATTGTATCTTTCGAGTCAATGACTAAATCGTCTGGATAATTAAGTCCATCCAACACTACCATGACATTAGTTGTCCCATATTCCAATTTGACTATTCGATAATTATACTGATCGGCGATAAACAATGTATTGTGACGATCAATAAATATTCCTCCAGGTGCGCCAATCTTGTCTGATCCAGCCACTGTCTCTGCTTCTGTTTGCCATGTTGCATCGAGGGGTGGAAAGTCTAATGACAAAAACCACATTTTATGACACTGAACGCGAAATCTCTGGTTTTCTCAGTCACTAACTTGTCATCTCTTCCGTGGTATTTACCTTCTTTTCTTTTTAATCTCTATTAGGAGTCTATCGATTTTGTCACTTTTTTCAAAAATTTTCTTTTTTCTCTATTATTTTTGGTTCCAAACGCTCATGAAATATCTTTCCCTTTTTTTCCAGATGCATCATCAACGAATACATCAAAGAATTGCAAAACTGTATATGGAACTTTGTATCAAATGTGGTAACAACGATTTTTGAATTGTTTGCTGAAATGTTAAGAAAACCTTTCGAAAAGGGTATGACGTTCTTCTTCATAGTAGTATATTCAAAGAACTCGGCAATTTCACGACTAACTTTTCAAGATGACGGTTTCATTCAGTAGGACATGGCGAAGTCAATGAAATCGGCTAATAAACGTGTAGACGACTATAAACTGGAAAGGAGCATAATTCGCATGGTAGTGTAACAGTTTACTTGACCAAGATGCTGAAATTTTAATCTCAATTGGTCATCTGAAAATGTTAGCTCAGCTAGTCTGTCTTACTATCTCTGATGATCTGATCAAAGAAACTTATCAAATTTCGATATAGCCGGTTCTTTTTAACTGGAAATCTTTTTTCTATCTAAAACGGTCACTTGAAGGGACAAACTCAGAATGTTAGAAATAACTCACATGCACATGAACTATTTTGAATGAAAGAATGAAATACGACAAGTACAAGAAGAACTGAAGTATTCATCTTTTGACACAGGAAAGTGATTCTGATGTGATATAACAAAAAAGATCTTACAAGTCTTCGCAAGGTTTTTTCTCTTTATATTTATCTACGTTTCGTTCTATTCTAATCTTCTTTCAATAAAAGGTGGACGAGATGAATCTTATTATCTCTTGCTTTTCTTTCTCTTCTCATATGACGACGCCAATGGAGAAAAAAATAGGTCATTCGAAATAAGTTGGTCAGAATTTAATACAGACGCGTATTTCCAACCTGGATAAACATGACAACTATTGTTCTAGAGCGACTTATCTTTCAAAATAATTTTTTGTTAACGATATTTTAGAATCGTTTTCAAAACAAAGCTCGGTCGAACTGTAATAAGGTGGAAAATTGAAAGCTGTACTTTAATTAATTTAAATATATATTCATTAATTAGATACTCTTCAGTCAAACAAAAACCTATTGTCGAGAGGAGAATCTTCCCTTTCAAAATCAAGTCCGAAGGTGCGAACAAAACAAAACTATGGATCTTTGGAAACATAGTTGGGCTATTTTGATATATGCACTAGTTCCTGTTCTTCTGGAATTATGATAAAAAGTTTTTTCTAGACAGACAAGTTTTGTGTTCTCTAACCACGGGCTAAATAGCAGTCTAATGCTTATTCATCATCTCTTGCCTCTGCCCATTTCTTATCTGTACATGCACTCATATCTACATGATTCCGTCTCTTGCTTCTCTCTGCTGGGCTGCTCCTAAGTTTTTGTTCGTCAGTTTTTTGTCTCCTAATCAGAAATAAACACGCTGCGTAGCCAGTATCCTCGCTACAAAACACACTGTGATTATGTCTTATACAAGTCTTGCGAAACTTTTCTAGTAAAGAAGAATGATCGTCATTCCATGAAATAAAATAAATGTTAATTTCCGTAATGCACAAGGATAAAAAATTGGGCTCAATTGTTCAGATGTGAGAAGAAATATTTGCATATGTATGCTTGCAATAAATCTCTACTGTGGATCGTCAACAAAAAACACAGAAATTTCTAAACATATTTAAAAAAAAAGTGGGTGTGGGTGTGGATGTGTGTACGTGAGGCTGTGGCTGTAGATCATGTCTTAAATCATAGCCACACACCCACCCTACCCACACTCACACCCACAACCACAACCACACCAACATCCACACACCCACACCCACACCCACAACCACACCTACATCCACACACCCACAACCACACCCACATCCACACACCCATCCACACCCACATCCTAACTGAAACAATATATCGTACATTACTGATTATGGTCTGTTGCAAACTATGATCAAAAAGATAATGCAATACAATAAATTGATCATTTCATACAACATTAATTTGAAAAGATCATAAAATTTATATAGGATATGAAAATGAATTAACATGTCATGATCTAAAATCTTCACGCTGGAGGATCTGATGATCGATTAATGCTATTATAATAAGTATTATGAGATACTTCAAATTTCATCACAATTACAAGCATTCATACTGAAAAATTGTAAAATGGTTTGTGAAAGTTGCAGAATACGGAAAAGTTAAATTTCTCTTTCAATTTTATTGAGTAAACGATGAAATATTGTATTTTTCTTGCTTTGAATATGCGTACATATATTTCATGGTTGAGAAAAATAATCAATATTTTAAAAGTTCAATACAAAGACAAAGTTTTAAGTGAACATATAATAAAGTGCTTAATTTTTATTCTTTTACAACTTTTATGGTCAAGAAAGATAATGCATAACAAAATTGTTGAGAGTGTAGGTGTGGGAATCATATGCATAGTCCCACACACTCACACCTCATTTAGAACAAAGATATTAGAAGAATAATGCAATTTGTCATCTACATGAACATTTTTGGACAACCATCTATTTTCTATTCCGAAATTATATCGATGAACGAAAGTACTGTTCGACGACAGTTTTCATTCACATATTAGTAAATATTGTATTGAATTTTAATTTCATTTTTTGAGAATACAAAAAGAGGCATTTTCTTTTTAAAAATAAATAGTATTTTACCAACAATAGGAATCATTCATAATTTATATAAAAAGATAGATGCTCATTTTAAAATCTTTTTACTTGTTTTTAGATTTATTTCAAGCTAATATACGAGTTAATAGAAACACATTTTATCTAAAAGATAAAATATAGATAAGTATGAGTAGTAAAATATTTATTCTCTGACTATTAAATAAAATTAAAACAATGGAGAATTTTTCATTCACCAACGTGCATATGTTTCATATCGTTAAGTATAAGATGTATGTTAATAATGGAAAAGTCAATCCAATAAAACTTGATCAAGGCTTCAAAGATATATGTTAAAAGTTTCAGTAAAAACATAATTTCATAATAAATGTTGATTAGATAGTATTTATGAGGAAAAAGGAATTTTTAATGGTTAGCAAAAGGAGATTGAATTCACTGAATGATTCACTGATATACCAATTAAAAACTAATTTCGATAGAATTCAGGTTCCAAGTTTAGCATTTCCAAATCAGTTTTTATTATATTCAAGACATCTTTCGAATAATCGCGTCTTTGAAAATCGCTCCGTAATTCCTAATCGATTACAGAATGTTTACAGAATAGATTGGAGAAATCTCGTATATTATCACCCTTTGTTCCTTTATTAATGAAATGTCAATAGTAAAAGAATATATGATAAAAAAAAATGGAAAAGTCATTTTAAAAAGGTATTGAACTTCTTTTTTATCAATTACTTCATACTATTTTGGTCTATCACCTAATTTCTTGGCTCTCAATTTCGCTTCTTCTTCTTTTGATTTTACCACAGGAATGAAAAGTACAGATAGGATATCGATGTCTGCTGTATTTGTCAAACGCCATTCGATTTCTTTTAAATTATCACCTTCATGAGCGGTGTAAGTTGTTACAGTGCTTGGAAAACGTCCAAATGTATTTTTAACCGCGCATTCCAATACGACTATAAGACGTTCATCATCGTGCGTAAATGTGACGGCATATGCTGGATCTGAACAATAATGTATACTTGGTGTTACGAATATTCCATTTGCAAAATCTTTGATACCGAAAACTTCTGCTTGTCGACTGATATGATTCGGTGGCGGACAAACACGATATCCACTAGAAACAACCGTACTTGCCATAACAAGTCCATCCATTAGAATTGATGCAATAACTTTTATATCTGTTCCATGATAGGCTATGTGAGGAAAGACAACTTCATTGTGATCACGAATTTTCAAACATCGACAAGGAACAGGAATATCACGATTATACAATAATTTTCCATTGGTAGCACGCAGAAACAAATCTGGCGGCAGAGTTAATTGAGAAGGAATAATATCGACATGACGAATAAAAGCATGTAATGTTTCTCCTATTGAAATTAGACGTGTATTTCGTGTTCGATAAGTAAACCAATAAAATGATGATGGTACTAGATTATATAGAATAGAATTCGGTTGATTATTCAGCACTACTGTCGGCATAGCTGTCAAATGATTTCTGGCACCATAAAATGCTTGAAAAAGACAGATGCATCCTGGTAAATTAGTCGTGTTAACATCAGGTGACATGATATATTCAACATTAATCACAACATCTTTATCAGCACAGTTGCTTGGGAAAGTAAATGTTAAATTTGTATCAGAAAATGATTGACTTACATTGGATGGGGTCATTTTCATCGTTAGTTTTGAGCATTTGAATTTCTCCAAAAGTTTATTTGCATTATTAGCAGGAAGGTTAGGACGTAGGACATGACCAGCATTCCCATAGCGTTTTCTTTCGTGCGCTGTTAGACATATTGGCAATTCGATAAATCTCGATGATCCACATCGAGCGCAATATGCAGCTGATAGAACTGTTGTTTTATCATCATCAAAATTTAATGGACGTCGAGCTATTGAAAAGCATGGATATTGAGCTCTCAATGATTCCGGCATAGCTTCTACTAGGTCATTATATTTAGCATTATAAGATAACTTTAATTCTGCTAATGGTGCATTACCAGCTTTGGCACCATCGCTATATAAGTGTACATCAATGAGTTTTTTATCCTTCAAATTAGCTCGATATTTTTCTAAGTGCTGTCTCATATCATCATTTTGTGCATCATTAAAAGCCAATGTATGAAAATTATTTTCTATATGTATGTCAGCACCATGTGATAATAATAAATCAACTACTGCGATATGTCCATAATAGACGGCACTATGTAATGGTGTACTGCCTGATTCTGTTGCAAGTTTCACATTAGGATTAGCGTTTTTATCTAAGAGCCATTCAACAACGGATGTTCGACCACAACGACAAGCAACGTACAGTAAACTTGTACCATCTTGATTGACTGCATCTGGCGATCTTTTCTCAAAATAATACTTAAACCACCAGTTGATACCGTTGGCAGCCATTTTAAACATATCTTTTGTACGCATCGATTCAAATAATTTAGTTATTTTGTCTCCATGAAAAGAGCCTTCATCTTCAGCTGTTGTACACCATTTATTTAGCAAAAGTGGATTAGCACCCCGATTGAGAAGATATTCTACTACAGAATCATGTCCACCATAAGCAGCTAGATGTAAAGCTGAATTTAAATTAACATCAACAATATCGAGATTGGCTGAACGTTCTTCGATTAACCAACTAACACAATCAAGATATCCTTTCTTACTAGCACAATGAAGTAACGTTTGTCGTAGTGCATAATATTGTTTATCAATATGATATTTAGTATCATCAAAATTAGTCTTTAACCAGTCAAGTTGATGTGCAGCCATTTGTACAAAAGGTGTCATTTTCAAATCGGTAAAAGTATTTTTAACAGCATCATCATAAGCTTCTTTTTCTGCTGTATTGTTGGAACTATTTTCAATGGTATAATTTGCTCCGCATTCTAGTAAACAACGCACGATATCCGCATGACCAAAAAAAGAGCCAGCATGCAAAGCTGAACTTCCTGTTCTTTGTGCTATGTCGGGCTCAGCTCCTTGTTCTGTTAAATATTTGACAGCTTCTGGATTGCCAACACGTGCCGCACAATAGAGTGGTGTCTGTCGTGTGTTTGAATCTTTGGAATTAATTTCCTTTAATGTAGCCTTTTGTAAACTGTTTTTTAATTCTTGAAAAAGTTCAGGTTCAGCAGCGAGTTGTTGTATTGTATATTTCGATACTGGAATATTTGATGTCCATTTATCACTTTTAAGATAAGTATCACGTTTATCATAGTCAGATACTGTTTCATAGGCACGACAAATAAGTCGAAAATTTTCAGCCGTAATTTTACGAGTTCTAGGGCTTCTAAGACGATCTTCTTTGTACTCAAGAATCTTTCTTCGATAAGCTACACGTAGTGAATAATCATTAGCAGTCTTTTTTTCTTCAAGAATATCATATGGTGATGAACTCGTCGTTGCCATATAGTTGTTGTTCTCTTGTTTTGAAAGGTTCCTCAAAATGAAACAAAATTACGAATAAAAAAAAAGGAATATTTTGATAAAAGCTAATCGTAGCTGTTTATTACCATCAACGTGCTTTTTTTTTCTGTTACTTCCGAGAGACTTTGTTTTTTTTAAATACGCTTATAGATGGCGTTTTTATGGCACGCGATCAAGAATTCACAAACGTCCTCTCCATGACTTCAGTGACTCACAACCAATGAGAACTTATCAAGGAAATTTCACAAGTGTTGCGAAAGAAAAGTGTTGGAGTTGACGTGCAGAGTAATTACATTGTCATGTTAGAAAATGAAATTTATTGACTAAAAACTACATAATCAGAAAAAGAAAGCCTTCAAAAAAATGTTCGTTCTGGACGAAGAAGAAGGAAGGACATGAGAAATACATAGGGGTATCCAAAAGTAGTGGCAACGATATTTTATTACCACATATTAAGGTTGAGAAAAACTTCTTTTTACATAGGATGATAGAGCGAAAAAATCTCTTTCTTTCTATGCTATTCGATTATACTTCAGGTGACATCATAATAAAAAAATTCTAATAAGACTAGTTTGCCTAAGATGTGTCACGGTTATAGAAGTTCACATTGTCTTCAATAGGCATTCTTTTCTTGATCTTTTCTTTGTTTTTCTTCCTTCTAACGAAGGGTGTGGGTGTGGATCTTCTTCTTACCCACACCCACACCCTCTTCGGAAATGAAAATAGTAATAGATTGGGATAGTTTTCTGTTTTATCACTGATATGAATGATGTACCTACATGTTCAATAATTTCATCCGTTTTACATATTGATGCAATTTTCTAAATTAGAGTGGGGTGTGGGTGTGGGTGTGGATATTCGCTGTTATTTACTCACACCCACACTCAAAATGAGTGTCTAGTCAATGTTCTTTTTCTACACAAAATCATGAGTACACGACATTCAAAACTATAATCATAACAAAAAGCATCTTTCAGTGTGATAATTTCATTTCTTCTCGAACTTTCTTAAATAAGGCATACTATGTGCGCGGTTATTTTATAATTAAATACCTTTCATGACCATATTTCTTGTATTTAATCTATCCATTAGAAATCATTGTCACTTTGAGGTTAAGCTTGGCAATTGGTGACATCATTAATCATCGTATAAAAAATGAATGATTCTCAAAAAATAACTCTGCTCAATCTTGGAACTCACTTCGT